GTTTGGGAGTATTCCATCCTTTTCTATGCTCTGAAGTACCTTCAGTAGTAGTGGTATTAACTCTTCTCTGAAAGTTGGGTAGAATTCTCCAGTGAAGCCATCCGGGCCAGGGCTTTTTTTTGTTGGGAGTTTAATTACCTTTTCAATCTCTTCTTTTGTTATGAGTTTATTTAGTTGTTCTACCTCTGTTTGTGTTAGTTTAGGTAGATAGTGAGTTTCAAGAAATTTTTCCATTTCCTCTAGGTTTTCAGATTTGTTAGAGTACAATTTTTCATAGTATTCTGTTATGATTCTTTTCATTTCAGTGGGGTCTATTTTGATATTACCATCCATTTCTTATACGGGTTATCTGCTTCCTCTCCTGTTTTTCTTTTGTCATTTTGGCCAATGGTTTATCAGTTTTGTTGATCTTTTCAAAGAACCAGCTTTTGGTCTTGTTAACTCTTTCAATTGTTTATGTATTCTCTATTTCATTTAATTCTGCTCTAATTCTTATTATTTCCTTTCTTATGGCGCCTGAAGTCTTCTTTTGCTGCTCTCTTTCTACTTGTTCCAGTTGTAGGGATAATGTTTTGATTATGGCCCTTTCTTCTTTTTGGATGTGTGCATTTATTGGTATAAACTGACCTGTGAGCACTGCTTTGCTGTGTCCCAAAGGTTCTGGTAGGATGTGTTTTCCTTCTCGTTTAATTCTATGAATTTCTTTATTCCATCCTTAATTTCTTCTATAACCCAGGAGTTTTTGAGCAGGCTGTTGTTCAGTTTCCATGTGTTTGATTTTTTTCCCTTGCTTTTTCTGTTGTTGATTTCTACTTTAATGGCTTTATGGTCAGAAAAGATGCTTTGTACTATTTCGATGCTTTGGATTTTGTTAAGGCTTACTTGATGGCCTAACATGTGGTCTATTCCGGAGAATGTTCCATGTGCATTGGAAAAGAAAGTATCCTTGGCTGCTGTTGGGTGGAGTGTTCAGTATGTGTCTATGAGGTCAAGTTGGTTGATTGTAGCATTTAGCTCTTCTGTGTGTTTGTGAGCTTCTTTCTGGATGTTCTGTCCTTCACTGAAAGTGGTGTGTTGAAGTCTTCTACTACTATTGTGGAGCTGTCTATCTCTCTTTTCAGTGCTGTTAGAGTTTGTTCTATGTATTTTGGGACCCTGTTACTTACTTTGTTTTAATTGGAAATTTATACAGCTTATAAATTCAATTGCTTATGGATTCTATTCTCTCACTCACAGAGATTAAAAAAATATCGAGTTAATAGAATGTAAAGTGGTGAGTGGTTCCTGCTTTTGACCATATTTATACCTACAATCCTTATTCTGGGCCCTGAATCCTACAGAACAGTTCTAAAAAGACTAGGAGGGAATGAATGCTCTACCCTACTGGTATCCACAGATGAGGGGACTTTATGGAGCTTTGGAACTTGTCTTAGTTTTCTTAGTGATTCAGAAGGGGATAGGAAAACACTTGCTTTGGGCTGGAATTAGTAATAATTTTTCTTTCTCTTGTAGCACTGAACAAGATTTGTGATGAAATGGAGCCTGGAGCAAACTCTTTTCGAGTAGAATTTCCTGATTTTTCCAGCACCATTCTACAGAAACTGAACCAGCAGCGCCAGCAGGGACAATTGTGTGATGTCTCCATTGTTGTCCAAGGCCACATTTTCCGGGCACACAAAGCTGTTCTTGCTGCCAGTTCACCCTACTTTTCTGACCAGGTACTCCTGAAAAACAGCAGGAGAATTGTTTTACCTGATGTGATGAACCCAAGAGTGTTTGAGAACATTCTCCTATCTAGTTACACAGGACGTCTAGTAATGCCTGCTCCAGAAATTGTTAGTTACTTAACAGCAGCAAGCTTCCTCCAGATGTGGCATGTGGTAGACAAGTGCACTGAGGTTTTAGAGGGAAACCCTACAGTCCTTTGTCAAAAGCTGAATCACGGCAGTGACCACCAGTCTCCAAGCAGCAGCAGTTATAATGGTCTGGTAGAGAGTTTTGAGCTGGGTTCTGGGGGCCATGCTGATTTCCCCAAAGCCCAGGAACTGAGAGATGGAGAAAATGAAGAGGAGAGCACCAAAGACGAGCTGTCTTCTCAGCTTACCGAGCATGAATACCTTCCCAGCAACTCGTCCACAGAGCATGACCGGCTGAGCACTGAAATGACAAGCCAGGATGGGGAGGAGGGGGCCAGTGACAGCGCCGACTTCCACTACACCCGGCCCATGTACAGCAAGCCCAGCATAATGGCTCACAAACGTTGGATCCACGTGAAGCCTGAGCGCTTTGAACAGGCTTGCGAGGGCGTGGACGTTCATGCCACATATGATGAGCACCAGGTCACTGAGTCCATCGATACCATGCAGACAGAGCACTCAATCCAGCCTTCAGGAGTGGAGGAGGACTTTCACACTGGGGAAAAAAAAGTGGAAGCAGAGTTTGATGAACAGGCTGAGGAAAGCAATTATGATGAGCAGGTGGATTTCTACGGCTCTTCCATGGAAGAGTTTTCTGGAGAGAGGTCGGATGGGAATCTAATTGGGCACAGACAGGAGACTTCCCTAGCAGCAGGCTACAGTGAGAATATTGAAATGGTAACAGGAATTAAAGAAGAGGCTTCTCACTTAGGATTCTCAGCCACTGACAAGCTGTATCCTTGTCAGTGTGGAAAAAGTTTTACTCACAAGAGTCAGAGAGATCGACACATGAGCATGCACCTCGGTCTTCGGCCTTATGGCTGTGGTGTCTGTGGTAAGAAATTCAAAATGAAGCATCATCTTGTGGGACACATGAAAATTCACACAGGCATAAAGCCATACGAGTGTAATATCTGTGCAAAGAGATTTATGTGGAGGGACAGTTTCCACAGGCACGTGACTTCTTGTACCAAGTCCTACGAAGCTGCAAAGGCTGAGCAGAATACGGCTGAGGCTAACTAAAAATAGGATCTGGCCCTTGAGTGGCATGCACAAAAATAAACTATGGTAATTATGCAAATCTGGGCACAGATGATGCGTGCTACTTGCTATTATGAGAGAAGCTTTAAAAAAGAAAGAAGATATTTCTGAAAGATCAGCTCTAAGCAGGCCAATTTAAAAAAATCTAATTCCTCAAATTTTATATATTCCAGTCCTGGCCTGGAGGAGGTAATGGGGGTAAGTTAACCCACCTCCCAGCTGGCAACTTAAACCTTCATGCCAGTTGTGTTTGAGGCAAGTGGACTTTGTGCTATAGACACCTGCACTTGGAACTGGACTTCAGCCCACCAGTGCCATTTCAGGTGGCAGCAGTTTTTGATCACTGATTATTACAAGGTCATGTTGAAATTTTATTTTGCTCTTACTATAGATACTTAAGTAATGTGGAGTTGATTGGTAGCTGCTTCACTGAATGAACTGCTACTGTTGTAAAAGCAACAAATAATGTGATTCCTGGAATGAGAAAATGTATTAACAGAGCTCTCTTGTCTGGTTTTATTCTTTCTAAAGGGTATTTTAACTAAAACTATGGAGATACTAAGAGGGTGATATTCTAAGTATGAAACAACTACAACTTATGGTACAAGCTTCGATTTCTGTAAGATGCCACAGTCACACTGTGTTTCAGACTCTTGATAAAGCAAAGTTTTGTATTTTAGTACTAACATTTAGTTTGAACAATTGTATCTCACTGTAATTCTCTAGGGTGCCAGTGTAATTGGTTTGCTGTCCCAAATCCTGTTCGTTTAATTGTAGCATCCACAGTAGTGGGATCCACTCTGGCTAGTGGATGTCTAGCCCACAGTACCATTGGCTGCTCCAGCTGTTGCCCTGTCTGTGGTGCTTCCCAAAGAGGGCAGTCAGTAACTACAGTTGGTGGGAAGGAGCCTAAAGTCAGGGCTAAGAGTTACCTGTGAACTTCAGGAGTTAATAGAGTGCTACAGTGACACTGCAACTGTTAAAATAAGAGTTGCAGAGAAGCAGAATTCTATGAATGCAGGTTATACTTGAGGTGGGGAAAACTGCCCAAGAAGAGAGGAGTCTTGAAAATACACTGGTGAGAGGATGCTCTTTTAGAGGGAGGGGTACACTGAGCTAATACTGCCCATTCTTTAGGATGCTGAGATGTATTTTAAAAGGGGGAATGATGGAGTCCTAATTTTAGCAAAGTAGTCTACAAATTCATGCTCACAAATTATAGATAAAGCTGCATAAATTTACAAGTCCACATAGCTACCAAAAAACAGCAAGAAAAGCAGCTATTCTGAGACCTTTTCTGCCAATAAGTCAAATGTTTTAGGTTAAAAAGAGCATATATTCAGAATGCTTTTAAGCTGTGTGATATACCTGAAGTTACTACCAGGGTAGGACCAGGTGCTACTACTATGTCAACTTTTCCATAAACTTAACTGGTCTATTCTAAATTTTAAGTAGAAACTTTTTTCCCTTAAAATAAAAATAACTTTTCTTGGATTTCGGGTGAAATTTTGTTTGAAAGTTTGGCTTTGCTCTGATGTGATAGACATTGCTGGCAGTGGCCTCTGATCCTCAAGCTACTAACACCAAGGAGTTTACTTGTTAAACATTGTCTGAAAAGGGGGAAAGAAAGTACTTATTTACCAGTTAACTCTTGTAATCAAGATTACAAAACAGGGATCTGTTCACTAACACTGTATCATTCTCGATATATAAAAAGCACTTTGTATTTAAAACTTTATTATATATATATATATACATATATATATTGTTTTTTAATCTAGAAACTAGATATTACCTCTTGGTTGTTTGCCACATTAATATCTTCTTTTAGTGTTGAAACTTCACCAGTTAACAGTCCTTTCTCTGTGTACCTGACAAAAGTGTATAGAGGTGACTGTACAATCAAGCTCAATTACTCCTTATCCTTTTGTGATACGAGAGGCCAGTGGGTTTTAGTTATGATCTTAACCATTATGCGTGAGGAAAAATTGTTTTATTACTCCTATAAGTTTCAGTACTAAGGCAGTGAAGCCATTTTGTTCTGCCAAAAGCTGATCACCCTTTCTGTTTGGAGTTTTGATATGCTATTTTCCTTTAAAGATTATATTCAAAGAAGCGTTGGAACATTTGGGGAGAAGAATCTGAGAGATAAAATTCTGGAAAAATCATGGTCCTTCAGTATGCTGAAGTCAGCACAGTACCTTGGCATGAGTAGTGATAAAGAGCTTTTGTTCAGCCAGGAGTTATTGCCCACACTTGGGTGCTTATTTTGGAAGCAGTCAGTTGTACTGGGACTAATTTAATGTTTTGTGAAGAGAGGAGTATCTTTTATTGAAATTCTTACCTGTATATCAGCTACTAAATGTAGAACTTAAGGTGTAAATTCCTCATATCTACTGTTTTAAGGTTTTTATGATACTTGGAGTTTTGGTAAAAATGGAGATTGCCAATTGGGTTAACCAGACCCTGTGAGATAGTTGGGCGTCTGAAATGCTGGTCATGTTCAGAGAGGCAGGGGAAGGGGATTGCCTTAGTTTGGATATTAAAAGTGAATTTTTAGAAACTAAGTTTTTAGGATTAGGAGATCATACTGCATTACTACCTTTTTTTCCTCTTCACCCTGGGTTGAAGTGATAATCTCTCTCCTTAGCCTCAATTCAGCTTTAGAAAATCTTTATCCTTCCAAATCAGTTTGGATAGTTGTGGGTAACATTTTCCAAACAGACTTTCAGGGATCATTTCAGTGGCCTATAACCAAGGTATTTTTCCCCTACTTTGAATCTTAACTGTGGTTTTTCTCCAATTCCAGTGGGAAAGGGCTTCAAAGTACCATCAATGGTATTTAATATTAGTACTTATACCATGCCTTTAATTTTAGGTGTTCATATTATAACAATCCACTTGGTAAAGCAGATATCACCATCTAACTAAGGAAGACTGAGATAGCCTTTCCTCAAGTGTTGTGGGTTACCCTCAGGCACTCCTGGGTCTCAGCCTATTTGATTCTCATTCTAGATTCACCTGCCTCCAGGCCCTTCTTTTGGCCACCTCTTTAAAAGAGTCTGCCCCAAAGGGTCCCCTCTGTTTTAGTGGGTATTTGCTGAATTAAACTGACCCTAAGTTGGCTTCTAGCTATTGGACAAAGCTGCTTGGCCTCAGTGGCTCCTTCTGTGGAGGTAAGCGCACCCCAAGTTGCTGCAGAAGTGAAGTTGAGGCAGAGCAGAAGCAACATAGCTGCGTTTTCCCAGGGGAAGGGGATGTGCTGCAGAGAGGGCTCCATCACGCCAGATCCAGGTGTTTGCTTTTATAAGGTCTCTGATAATTAGGAATGCTGGAAAACAAGCAACATACATCGCCCCACCTCCCTTCAATCTGTGCCACTAATTTTGTGATCTTGGTTAGGTAACGAACTTGGTTCAGTGAAACCAGGGGTTTTTTTCTTCGCTACTTATATATTTAAAGGTACATGTTTCTTATTTCAAATCCCTACTGATAGTGCCCTGTGGGAAGATGCTGGAACACATTTTACAAAATGTGACTTTTTTTTTAGTTGTGCTTGAAGCCTGTGTCATAATGTCAGTTGCTGCTGCCTTCTTTCCTCTTATGAGGTTCCCAATGTTTCTTCCAGAAAATTACTTTATTTATGCAAGTCAGGTGACTCTTAGGCCACAAAACCATTTGATGATAAACAGATTATCATTAGGTGCATATCTTATTGATATTTTGTGAAATGTTATGCCTGTGTTGCAAAAGTTGAATAGTTTTGTCTTTATATATTGCTGTCTTCAGTGTACAGCATGGTTTTACTTAATTGAATGTTACTGTTTAATATTTTCTTCTTATAGAAGAGACCATGCCCTTTTGTATGACATGTTTTAATAAATGTTATCTGTCAACTTTGTAAAAGTTTTGTTTTTCACTCTGGATAGATGACCACATGTCTTTGTTTTCATTCTGGCTTTTGCCACCTGAGAATAAAAGTTATAGTATGGCCTTTTGATAAATAAATACCAAATAGTCTGATCAAATAGGCAGTGAGTTACCATTTTCTCTACCAGATTATTATTTCATTTTAAACTCCCACCAACCCCATCAAATAGTTAAGTGTGCTGGATATTCTGTGTTTGCTCCTTGGGACTCACTCCCCACCTCTTCCCATCCTGCGCTTTGCTCCAGGAGGCTGGCCTCTGTAGACCTTCCTTCTGGCCTCTGGGCATGATCCGCCAAAAGAGGTGCTGGGAGAACATTGATAGATGACAGGAGAGGAAAGCTGACGGATTTATTCCCATGGCTTCTTCCTACCAGGCGTGGTTGGCAGTGGCTGAGTTGCTTTGCCAAGGGCCACACCTCCTGTCAGGCAGCCTCTGGATTTGGTAACTACACCCTCCCCTTGTTCCTTCAAACCTAGGTGTGGTCCTGACTCCCTGCTGTGCTAGCCGTGGGGTGCTTCACTGTCCTCGTTGGATTTCCCTAACCCTGCCCACACCCTTGTAAATAAACCCTTTATGAAACCCTCCTCAGTTACCCCAATTTAAGCGTACTATCCGTTTCCTGCCAGGACCCTGGCTAATACCGTGGGTATCGTCATTTCACAAATGAGCCAGGTGTGATTGAGAGAAGTTCGGTATATCACCAAAGGTTATACAGCAACTACGGGTGGAGCCATGGCTACAATACGGTGGTGGTTTTTATCCTGCTCTGTAATGTTCCCATGCTCTTTAGTTGGGTCCCTCTCTGCCCTCACTTTACTCATCTTACCTCCCCACCCCCCAAATCCTAGAGAAGTCGAAACAGTGGTCTTTAAAAGTGCTTCAGGCACTGAGGACCCCACATATTTCCTAACAACAGCTCATTACCAGAGATACTGCTTGTTTTAGATCAAACTTAACCATCTTCCTACACAAACCTTCTGTTACCACTGTTTGTTGTGAAGTTTTTTTTTTCCTCCGTTGCTGATTTTGAAGCCAACTACAGATTGCCTCAGCTTCTGTAAGGGGAAGAAGTCAAGAAGGACCATTTATAGCCTTTAATCACTTGGTTGTCTGAGACAGGGCCTGTCCATCCTGACTGAGCAGCTCAGGCCCTCAGCTTGGTGACCCCTCCTTGCCCCCACCCCCACTTTCACCCCTCCTATTACCCTACATAGGCTCCTGGCTACTAGCAGTCCAGCAATGCCCACCTAGGAAGCAGGGTTCCCCGTAGCACACATCTCATGCAGGGGTAGAGACCTCTGGGCTATGAATATGAGAAGCACTGTGTTCCTTATCAGGAGAAGAGGAAAGTTGAAGTTGCTCATTTGTATTTGGGAACAGAAGGGGGGTGGGATGTGAAGGATGTTATCTATATGGGGCATATAACACCTGTGCAGTGTATTTAGATTTCCTTACAGTCAATTCAGGGGCCACTTCTTCCCACCAAACCACTGAAGCATTCCTTGAGACAGTCCCCATGACTGGGCATCTTGGAGGAAGCTCAGCTCTAGAATTTGCCCACAGTCAGTGGAAACGAGGTAAGTTTGAATTTACTGTAACAATCATTATTTGGTGAATGTTTTAAATATGTTCTTTCTCAGTGCAGATAAAAGAATTCTGTGCCCTTCCAACTCTTGTTTTTAAGAAAAGTTGATTGGTGCTCTGTAGTTGGAGTTCAGTGAATAAAAGAAAGGCACAAATGGCACTTTTTTTCCCCTCTTAACGAGAAACCAGAAAGGGGAGGGGGGAGTCTTGTGGCCTTTCCTATTCTAAACTGGTTTAACTAGTTTGAGTCAAAACCAGATTATTTGGTTTTAAAATCTTGTTCCACTTTTAATTTTTTCCAAACAGATAAGCCAGTGTGCCTTGCAAGTAACTTGATGCAATTACAGGAGAGTTACAGCTGCCCTTTGAGGGAGTGTGTGGGCTCTATAAAAACAAGATAATTCATGAGCAATATTGAAGGTAAATATAGGTTATAAAAAGCTTAATGGCTTTTTACTTAGACTCTAGTGATTAGGGATTCTATTTTTTCTTCCTAATATTCTAAAACTGTACTGAAGCCATTAAATGTGTTTATAACTTAATAAGATACCAGTTACTCCCCAGAGTATACTGGTCTACCTAATGTCACAGCTAACCTTTATTCATGGGAGCTAAAAGGCTGCCTCTAGAATTGCCCCTGTCTTGTTAATTTGGGGTCAGCAGTGTTGTGATAAAGATCCTCAACAGCACAGCACCACTCGTGATGGATGGATAGATGCCAAACTGGTAAACTCCGCTAGAA